GCCAGGCACAGAGAGGACACTTGCCTTTCTTGTGTCCCAGGGCCACGGCCAGATCCATCGGGGTGTAGCCAGAATCTGCCTCCGTTGTCAGGTCAGCACCATGAGCTGCAGGCAGGCAGTGGGGATCAGGGCACTGGGGACCCCCAAAAGCTGCCCATCCTGGCTGGGCAGCCCCCCCATGGCACCCCCAGGGTGCTCAGTTTCTCCCCCCAGCCCCATCCCTGGGGTGGTTCCCCATTACCTAGCGGGCTGTGCTCACCCCCCTCCTGCCTGGGCTCTCCCCCCTCTTGCCTGGGTTTACCCCCCTGGGATCCCCCTCCCACCCTCTCCCAGCTCCAGGCTCTCAGGGAGGTCTCTGTGCAGGTTTTTATTTTCCGGGTGAAATACAATGACTTCTAAACTCTGTAATTTTAAAGAGAGCCTGAAGTTCTGAGCCCAGTTTCCCTGTGGTTGGTAACATCACCCGTGTGAGCAACCAAGGAAACCATTTAAGATTATTATCCAGATGAATTCCTCCAATGCAAACCACATGAGCAGGCAAAGGAGGGCTGGGAAGCAGCTGGGAGGGAGGCAAACTCAGCCCGGAATGATGTGAACTCGCTGCTGCTTTGCAGAACCCCCTCAGGGCTCTGTGTCACCCCCAAGGGACCCCGTGGGGCCCCAGCCCTGGGGTGCCCCGTGGGGTGGGCACAGCAGCGCCAGGCACAGAGAGGACACTTGCCTTTCTTGTGTCCCAAGGCCACGGCCAGATCCATCGGGGTGTAGCCAGAATCTGCCTCCGTTGTCAGGTCAGCACCGAGCCCGGTGCTCCGGATCCGCGGGGTCTCATCCCGCAAAAGCAGCTAGAAAAAACACACAACAAACCCCAAGAAGCCTCTTCCCGCTGCTGGTCCCTCCGCGTGGGCCCCGCACCCCACGGCTCCCGCACGCACGCAGTCAGAGGTCGCTGTGGTTCCACGCAGCGTTTGCACCCCAAATTGAACCCGTTTGCACTCCGAATTGAACCCGTTTGCGCTCCGAATTGAACCCGTTTGCGCTCCGAATTGAACCCGTTTGCGCCCCGAATTGAACCCGTTTGTGCCCCGAATTGACACCCCGGGGGTTCCAAACGGAGCCGTGCGGGGACGAACCCCCCCCCAGGCTGGGGGTGGTTGGCAGCGGTGCCACCCGTGCCCGTTCCCTGCCTCCCACCCTGCCCCACGTGCACCTGCCCTCCTCCCCGGGGCTGGTTTATCTTCCCTGCTCGTTGCTGGTCCCACCTCCATCCCCAGGCTCTTTGCTAGCAGGGGAATAATCCCCTTGTTGCAGCACTCAGTGTTTGCCAGGGACAGGAGGGGGCAGCTGCAGAGAAGTTGCAGACCTGTCATGAAGTTCTTGGCCTCAGGTCAGTGCTCAGCTCCTCCCTGTGCAGAGAGATGTTCCCTGACTCCCCCTCCTCTCCGGAACAGGCTTCCCCCTGAAGCACAGCAATGCTCTGACCAACAGGCAGCGAGGCAACGAGGTCTCAGCCCTCCCAGCCACCCTGGACAGTGAGTACTGGTGGGCAGGGGTGGATGTGGGGTGGGGAGGGTGCAGGGGACACTGGGCTGGTCCCTCCAGCTGCTCCCTGCAGTGCCCGGGGCTGGTTGTCCCCACCACTGAATGGCTGCACATGGGGTTTTACCACCCGGTTGCCCCCTCCCCAGGCTGGTAGGGGACCTGCCTGCAGGTGGTGGGTGCTGAGATGGGGAAACATTTTGTCCTGATGGGTGAATTCTTCCCCCAGCCCTGTCCATCCACCAGCTGGCTGCCCAGGGAGAGCTCGGCCAGCTCAAGGAGCGCCTCCGGAAAGGTACGTCCCTCCCTCCTGCCAGTTTTGATCAACTCCTGGCTCAGTGTGAAGACTTTGGAGGGTTTACTGGGGGAACAGGGAGCAGAGGGGGCTTTACCCTTCCAGCGTGTGATGCCTCATCCCTGTTTGTGCAGGTGAAAACTTGGTAAATAAACGTGATGAGAGGGGTTTGACGCCGCTGATCTGGGCCGCGGCCTTCGGAGAGATCGAGACAGTCCGTCACCTGCTCCAGAGGGTAAGGCCAGGCTTGTGGAGCACCTGGTTAGCAGGAGACTTCCCCTCTCCACCCCCAGTGGCTGCCAGATTGTCCCAGTACCATCTCAGCCAGCCTTTCTCACGGCACCAAACAGGACACGTCTGCAGAGCTAAGGGCTGTCGGAGGCGGCTGCCCGCCGGGCTGGGGGCTGAGCTGGGAGCCTGAAGGGCCTTATCTCACAGCCAGCAATAACTGTTTGTAATTAAATCTCTGCTTATTGGTAATTTGAGATCAGGCTTATCACTTGGGCCCTGTAATCTGCCAGCAAATGTGCTCACTGAGGTGTCGTTGCAGTTAATGAACTCATGGCTGCATCGTCCTTGGGCTCGCAGCCGAGGACGGTCTGGGGGGGGAGCAGGAACCAGGTCCCCCTCCACTCTGGATCAAACTGCTCCCTAAAGCTCAGTCTTGTGATCACTCATGCTTCAAAAGCACTGCCCAAAACCCTGGCTCTGCTTCCCGATTAGCAGCAAAATCACAAGGTGTTACCAAAGAGACAAACAGACCCCAAAAAGAGAGGAGGTGATACATTGGTAGAGGATGTGATGAAGTCCAGGAGAGGTATGTGGCTGGCAGGGCCTGGAGGACAGAGGTTTTCTAGGGAAAATCAGTAACAGAAGAGAGGGTGAGTACTGTACAGGGCTGGTAACACTGTTAATAGTGGTGGGGAAAAGGGCTGAGTAACAGGAATCATTATCAGACTCCCTTTACTGACACTGGAGAAGGGCTTTTAAGTCCTCACCTGAGATGTTTGATGATCTGTCTCTGCTCCTTGAGGCTGACCTGGCCCAATGATCAGCCCCTTGGGGCACCCAGCAAGGCTGTGCTGAGCACCCCAGGCCTCAGCAGGGCTGCTTCCCCTGGAGGGGGGCTGACACTGGTGCTGTCCCCAGGGTGCAGACCCCCACGCCCTGGCCAAGGAGCGGGAGAGCGCCCTGTCCCTGGCCAGCATGGGTGGCTACACTGACATTGTCCTCATGCTGCTGGAGAGGAACGTGGACATCAACATCTACGACTGGGTGAGTGCCACCAGGGCAGGCTGCCTCAGCCAGGGGCCCCACGGGGTCCCTTGGGGGTGACACAGAGCCCTGAGGGGGTTCTGCAAAGCAGCAGCGAGTTCACATCATTCCGGGCTGAGTTTGCCTCCCTCCCAGCTGCTTCCCAGCCCTCCTTTGCCTGCTCATGTGGTTTGCATTGGAGGAATTCATCTGGATAATAATCTTAAATGGTTTCCTTGGTTGCTCACACGGGTGATGTTACCAACCACAGGGAAACTGGGCTCAGAACTTCAGGCTCTCTTTAAAATTACAGAGTTTAGAAGTCATTGTATTTCACCCGGAAAATAAAAACCTGCACAGAGACCTCCCTGAGAGCCTGGAGCTGGGAGAGGGTGGGAGGGGGATCCCAGGGGGGTAAGCCCAGGCAGGAGGGGGGAGAGCCCAGGCAGGAGGGGGGTGAGCACAGCCCCACAGCCCCCTCCCTCTCCCTGCAGAACGGTGGCACCCCCCTGCTCTACGCCGTGCGTGGCAACCACGTCAAGTGTGTGGAGGCCCTGCTAGGTAATGGGGAACCACCCCAGGGATGGGGCTGGGGGGAGAAACTGAGCACCCTGGGGGTGTCACGGGGGGGGGGGGCCCAGCCAGGATGGGCAGCTTTTGGGGGTCCCCAGTGCCCTGATCCCCACTGCCTGCCTGCAGCTCATGGTGCTGACCTGACAACGGAGGCAGATTCTGGCTACACCCCCATGGATCTGGCCGTGGCCCTGGGACACAAGAAAGGCAAGTGTCCTCTCTGTGCCTGGCAGGGAGCCCTGCCTTCCCTTCCTGAGAAGCCTCCAGGTGCTTCCCAGCTTCCAGCCTGGTTTTTCTTGACCTTCCACCACAGCTCCCTGCTCTGCCACCCAGAGAAAGCAAAGCAGAGGAATCAAGATGGGTCCCGTTCCCCGTGGTCTCCTTCCAAACCAGAGCTGTGCTGGGACAGGGGAAGTGGGGACAGACCCCTGGCAAAAAAAAGGGATTTTTTTTCCAGCCTCCCACTGGAAAACAGGAGCAAAATGGTGGCCAAGTCCTGCCCACAGAGGCAGTGGCTTCTCTCAGGCTTGGCTTTCCCAGGTTTCACTTCTCTCCCCTCCATTAGTCCAACAGGTTATTGAAAATCACATCCTCAAGCTGTTTCAGAAAAAGGAGCTGGAGTGAGACAGGAGCCCCACCAGCCCAGGGCTCCCCTCTGGGACCACCATGGCCTCACCCAGCTGTCCCCAAACAGCACGATGCTTCCAGCATGGAGCACACGAGGGAGCCAGGAACCAATGGGAATCTACCCCTCTCCAGGGGGTCTGCCCACCCGCAGTGCCCTGTGCCTGGGGGCCCTCGTTCCTCAGGGCAGCTGCAGCTCTGCCCTGCCCAGGCTCTGCTGCTCTGTGTTCAGGGATTGCATTTTTGGAAATAAACTCTAAAGCAACTGTGTGGAGCCCTGTCCTTTGCCTCAGCCTGGCACAGCTGCCAGTCCCCAAGTCCCCCAGCTCCCAGTGCCCTGGTATTCCTGTCTCTTCCAAGAGGTTTGCCATGGCAAACCCTGGAGAGCTTGGTCTCAGACATGCCACGTGCCCCAGAAGCAGCCAAGAACGAGTGGGGACACCATTTATTTGTGTCATTACACTTTTGTGTCCCAAAGTCCAGCACGTGGATCTCTGCACTACTGTTCCTCTGTCACTGCCATCCTGTGGGGCAGAGGGTCCCTCTCAGCACCTTGGGATGCAGTTGGAGGCTGCACGTCCCCACTGGCAGCTTTTGTTGTCCCCTTTCCTCCATGCTGTCCCTTGCCACTGCCTTAGAGCCTCTCCCCCAGCACCCCGAGGTGATAGACCACGATCCTCCCAAAGAAGTCAGTGCTGTTCTCAAAGGTGATCTTCAGCTTATCCAGCACTGTCTCCTCCACCTGAAATCTGTGGGGGATTCATCAAGGAAAAAAAACAACAGGCAGGGGGACACCATGACATGGGGGAGCCTGGCTCTGAGGGGACCCATGTGGGGCTCACACCCCAGGGAACTGTGGCTGGTGAGGTCCAGATCTGCTGCAGCTTTGGGCCCAGCCCCTGACGTGGCAAAGGATATCTGCAGGGCATGGGTGTCCTCGGGGTACAGCTCGGAGATTTTCACCAGTTCTTCCCCTGCTCTGCAGCCTGTGGAGGGTGAAGGTGGAGGCTCAGCTGCTGGGGGAGCTGCCACCACCTTGGCTGCCCCAAAAGTCCTCCCTGCCTTGACTCTGCACATCCCAGGGAAACCCCAGGTTCTCACAATCCACCCCTCTCTGCTCCAGCCCATGTCCTCAACCCCTTGTGGCTTTCAGGACCAGGCAGCAAATACCTCCAGGCCTCACAGCAAAGAGTTGTGGGATCCCGGGGTGGGTAAACTGAGGCAGAAGGACCCCCCCATTGCCCCCAGACCAGCTTCTCACCTTCCAGTGTGCACAGCCGGCTGGAGAACCCCCCCTGGAACTGGATGTGGAGCTGTGAGACCTTGACAGTGCAGGGGAAATCCAGGGTGACCCACTGGCAGGTGCCCTGAGGGCAGGAATGACACGGGGGCTCTGTCAGGGTGGGGAGGCACAGCTCCTGTCCCTCCCCTCCAGCCCCCATCCCACCCCTCCAGCCCCCATCTCACC